TGGATCCTTCTCACCGTTGCCAGGTGGTAGTAACCGAGCCCGCAACCCACCCCAGCCCCGGTCAAAAATGCCGCAAATCGCTGCAGGAAAGAAGAACCCCCGCTGCTGGTCTTCGCCGCCGCCGGTGAGGGCGTTGGCTGTGGCGACGGCGGGGTATGCTTCTCAGCGGCGGCGGCCTCGCTTGTTGTTGTTGACAGGAAGCGCCGTGCCGGCGCCGCGGAGGCAGTAGCGATCCCTCGGGACGACCCCGGCGCCCTGCAATGAACACGATGGGACAGCAACGGCCGACGGCAGCGATTACCGTAAACTATGGAGTTTTCCCCACGAGTTCGAGTGTCCCTCCCCTCCCCCCATTGGTGGGAGTCCATGGTGAACGCAACGGCAGAGAGAGTAGTGGAAAAGAAGGTGGTACGATGTGGGGTATCGGTTAAGTGGTGGGATGACGAGCTGAAAGAAGAAATAGGGGAACGTAGANNAGCAGTACCTGAGTGAGGCGTCTGAGGAGAGTTGGGAAAAGTACAGGGCCAAAAGAAAACAGGTGAAGGGACTAGTGAAAAAGGAGAAAAAGTGCATTTGGGACGAAGTAGTGCAGAAGACCAACGGAGGCCTGGAGGGGAACGTCAAGCAGATGCGGGAAAGGATTGGTGGAATGGTAAAAAAGACCGCGCAAGGGGGGGATACAGGGGTAGCAACTTTGCGAGGTGTGAACGGTGGACTAGTCAGCAGTGGGAAGGAAAAAAGGGAAGTTGTAGCAGGACACTACGAGAGACTTGGAGTGCCCTCGGAGAGTGAAGCTTTTGACCAAGTGTTTTAAGAAGGAGGTGGACGCATGGACCCAGAAAGAAAACATCGAAGGCAGACGATGGGAACGTAGAACTAGAAAAGGATTTCAATGAGGACGAGGTTGAGGCGTGTGTGAACAAGCTGAGGTGCCACAAAGCAGCAGGAGTGGAGGGGATAGTCAACGAGTTCATGAAGTTTGGGGGGAAGGGGATGATCCAGCTGATGGTACTGCTATACAATTGGGTTTGGAAAAACGAGTATACGCCAAGCAGATGGAGGGAAGGGGTGGTTGTGAACTTGTTTAAGAAAAGAGACAAGACTGGCCCAGGAAACTACAGGGGTATCACACTGTTGAGCACAGTAGGAAAAGTGTTCTGTAAGCTGCTGAACGATAGGATAGTGGGAGTATTGGAGAAGGAACATAGCATTAGTGAGGGCCAGGCAGGTTTCCGCAAGAAGAGGGGGTGCGTAGACCACGTGTTCACGGTAGGGAGAATCATCCAAGGTACAAAGAGGGCGGGAAAGCCGACATACTGCTTCTTCCTAGACATGAAAAAGGCATGTGACACCGTATGGAGAAATGGGCCGTGGAAACAACTGTCCAAATACGGGATCAAGGGGAAAATGTGGANGATAGGATAGTGGGAGTATTGGAGAAGGAACATAGCATTAGTGAGGGCCAGGCAGGTTTCCGCAAGAAGAGGGGGTGCGTAGACCACGTGTTCACGGTAGGGAGAATCATCCAAGGTAGAAAGAGGGCGGGAAAGCCGACGTACTGCTTCTTCCTGGACGTGAAAAAGGCATACGACACCGTGTGGAGAAATGGGTTGTGGAAACAACTGTCCAAATACGGGATCAAGGGGAAAATGTGGAGCGTGCTGAAGAAGATGACAGAGTGTACGAAAAGCGCGGTCATGCTAGACGGAGAACTGTCAAAATTCTTCGACATTGAGCAGGGGGTCCCACAAGGTTGCACGCTGTCCCCAACATTGTTCCAGCTGTTCATCAACGATCTGTTGGATTTCGTAGAGGCAGTCCGGAAGGGAGAAAAAGTACGGGACACGGAAACGTCGGT